ACTAATGTGTGCACATCAGAGCTGCCACCAGGCCGGCCTGCCAGGCCATCGGAAAATTTGAAATTCAAATCTGAGTTGATCTATTTACATTATATTGAAGTAGAATAGGAGACTAGCTCAGACTAGCATTATTGGCCCAATTCATCTTTTCTTTGTGTGAGAAATCTTTGCATCTATCATCAAATCTCTGTAAAAACCCATATTATAAAATATATTTCTGACACNCTTATTTCAAGTAGCGTTATCTGCGTTTTGAATGACGAGCCAATCAGAGTTAAACGAGAAAATATATAGAGGGTACGACATAAAAAATAACTCGTTTTTCTAGTAAACTTGATTCGATTAGACGATTATTGGGGTAGTTAATTATTTTCAGTTATACACATAATTTCCTTTTATGAGCATAGTATGATAATAAGGTTTTGGACAACATAAAGAATTAAAACAAAGAGATAAGTCGTCAAAAATATTTTTAATACACAGTATATTAGATTTATCAAATGTTTTTTTATTATATTAGCAGTATTTCACATAATTGGAAAAATATAATTTACGATAAAACAACAACAACATATGATGAGGCATACAGCAAAGAGATTATGAGCTTTTTGGCATCATCATATGCTTCAAGTTACACAAGAGAAAATAATATTGCGTCACACACACAGACAGACAACGTTAGCCTGGTCTTGTCTGTTATGAGCATCCCGAAAAAAGTTCGAGCCTGTAGCTCATTGCTGCCGAATTATTGCATTTTTATGAAATTTTTCAATACGATGTTGTAGCTTCTTCAGAAAAACTGATTTTCAACTTGAAACTTTGCACTGAAGCAGGCCTTTGACGATAATAGTTTGTAACTTAACATGTGAAATTTTATTTTCGTAGGGTTCCTGAGGACGACCACGGTATCGTATTGAAAAATACCAAGTCTACAGGATGCTCATAGGCTAATCTCAAAAACGATTAATCAGTTGGGAGACGTTTCTTATAAGTCAGATCGATTTATGTGCGAAGTACATTCATATTGTTCATAGGTTCTTCTTACACCCGATTTGAATACGAATTGTCTTTCTAAAAACGTCAATCATCCTGAATATATTTTTATTACTCTAAATGATCTTTTATGTCAATATCGTGATTCTACTATCTCATTCTTATATGAAAGACAGTAGTATTATAGTCGTTAATGAAGATAAACAACAGTCGAAATAATGAAAAACAAAACACAATAATCATAACAATGTTTCAAAGTTCGATATCACAAAAAAAGAAAGCTATCTGAAACGAAATAACAAAAAAAAGAAACTAATCATAACTAATTGAAAATATTTTATTTTCCAATAGAAAATGATCGGCCTGTTGGATTATGTATAGGTAAAGTTGTAGGTTCAATAACTGTCCATTCATACCAAACTTGAGATGATGAACAACAACGCCAAAAATTTACTTTTATTTTTGAATTAGCTGCTAATGTCACTGGTTCCTAATAAAATATCAAACACTAAAACTTATATCATATAAAAACTTTAATTATTTCTTACTCGAATTGGAAAAAACATAGGAAACCAACTAATTAAATTTTTTGAATGTGTATTTGGTTCAATACCTAAATCAACATATGATAAATAATCATTCCGATAAGTGATATGACTTACTAATAGAAATATCTTTATACAATTTTGCTTCAAAAAATCCAGCTAAACCATGCATAGTACCTGTTGTTGGTATTGTAAATTCTACTTCATCATATCTTGAATTATCAATTGGAACTAAACAATTGAAATATAGCAATAAAAACCAAAAAAAAGAACAAAAAAAATTGTTTTTCTTTTACTTACTCGAAAAATTTGGATGTATAAAAGTAAATAATGGTTTTGTTTCAGCCAAGAAAAAACAATTATGTAAATAAACAACGAATGGTGTTTCAAAATTTGCCTAAATATAAAATAAATTTAATAAATCATTATTTTGAAATAAAAATTGTTATTTACATAATATGGTTTATTTGCATCTCGATTATAAAGTAATTCTGAAAATATACGTGGTGATTGTACCGGACATATATATGAAGTATATGAATAAGGAATACTAATTCCATCCTCTAAAATAAATTACATGGAAAACATTGTTTTTTTTTTTTATTGAAATGTTCATTTTCTTTGTTTTTTATTAACCTTTCAGATAACGTTGTGCTCCATCAAGACATTCAGGTGATAATTCATTATCACCAAATGAACCTAATAACTCACTAACCATTATATCAGCTTTACATTCTGGATGCCATGAACGCATATCTTCATGAATGATAGTCACACGATCACCCCATTCTTGTTTTTGAGAATAAAGACTAAGACAAAAAAAAAATGTTTAAATAGTAAATAAATTTGTAATATTAAACTTACGAAATAATTGCCATAGGATTTTTTTCTACTGCATAAATATGTACTTTATATTTCGCTCTATCAGCTGCTTCAAGTGCTCGATTAACTAATGGACCACGACCGGCACCAACAACCATAATTATTCTAAACAAAAGAAATAAAAAATCATTGTTCGAAGTATAAATAACTGATTAGAAAATATTTCAGAAATATTCATTGTGACTAAAAATTTGCAACTGCCGTGCTGCATACAATGAACATCTCTGAAACATTTACAGATGAATTTGAAATGAGAAAAAACGAGTAGAGTATCTAACGAAGGAAGTTCTTCTATCATCATTATGTAGACTTTATTGAATAGAGTTGTAAACGAATCCATTGATTGGTGACTGAAATTCTTTAAAAGTCTTCTTAATTTCGAGAAATTATTGACAACAAACTAAACACTAACATTTCCAAAGACTGATTAGGAATGTCAGAAAATTTTTAAAATCTAATATCTAGGCAAGAATACTTTATTGTATATTTGTAAATTCGACGTTCATATGAAAGTGTAAAAACTAATTCACTTATTTAGTTTTTGATAACAACCTTTAAGTAATAAGATCTCTTCTATAAATCCTCAAAAAAAAAAAAAAACAAAGCTATAAATTTCGTAATATACATACACAGATGTTTTTTGATCATATCGATCGACTAATGCTTGATAAATAGCCTTTATTATAAAACAAAAAAATTATTGAATATTTCGATTTTTTTTTCATGAACTATACTTTTTCATATTGAACATATTTTATTGGATCTTTTTCAAATATTTCATATGTACGTGATTCAAGATTATCAGCTAATGGTTGAAGTGGTACTTGTAATCGATCTTCATAACCATGTGTAAATGATTCAAGTACACGATTAATTGGTTCTGTTTGCTAATTAATAAAAAATTTTATTTTATTTACTTTAAAAAAAAAAAAAACTTCGACTATTTTTATTTACTCGTGTTATATGTTTAAGATATTGTAAATAAGGTTCAAATACTGTTGAATCATTTGGATTAATACCTTTGATAATAAATTGAACTTTAAGCTAAAATTAAACGAAACAAAAAAATTTCTGTTATGAACGAAAAATAAAATCAGATTTACTTTAATTAATTTTATTATAAAAAGTTGATGAGCAGGTGAAAGAACAGGAAAACCTTTTGCATTAGTCGTAAAAATTTTTGTTGGTAATATAACAGCTCGTACTGGTTCACCTAACCAACGTTTTTGAACTTGTTCACTCGGTATATCAGCCGATAATTCTAACATTATTAAAAAAAAAATACAATAATCTTCAAACAAATAGAAATAAATTAAATTTATACCTAATACTGGATAAACTTTTCCATGATAATCAAGTAATTTATAGATTTTATTCCACCAAAGCCATGGTTGTAATTCAGCTTCATTATCATCATCAAAATTACCTGGAGCACATGTTGGAAAAACAAACCAATACTTAAGAAAAAGAAGATTTCATTTTTTTTTTTTGTTTCGAAAATTAAATTTTTAATATTATTAAATAATATTCTTACAGCAAAATATAATGTATTAAGTGTACTAGCAGCAATTCGAGTTAAATTTGTAATATTTCCATTATGAATACGTATAATAACACGTGCTACACTAAAATATTGAGCAGCAGCTAATTCTTCTTGAAGTAACTAAATAAAATCAAATTACAAAAAAAACAAAAATAATAATAATCATTTTACTTTAGTAGCTTTATTTCGTATATGAAGATTTGGTGAATCAACATCAATAACATGTCGAATAAGAGCGACTAATGCTGTTGACATATCAGCACTTTCACCAACACCTTTTAAACGACTAGCTATTGATGGCCATGTTAATTGTTTTGATCCATATGTTGTTATTAAATCCGTACCATATTGTTTACGAATAATTGGTATAACAAGAAAGTCATATCTTAGAAAACACAATAACAAAAAAAAAAAAAAGATAAATGAATAATGATAAAAATTTTACTTTTGTGATGAAGCAAGTGTCAATGCATCTTTGACATTTCGTACTGTAGTAAATTCAATACCTACAGATGGAGTCGATTGTGTAGACATAAGTTTTTTGTTTTCTGTTAGATTTGTATTATACTTCAAAAAATATAAAAGAATAATACACTAAAGAAAGTATCTTTTAAATAGAAATTAAAAAAGAATGAGTGTTTAAAAAACTGTTCTCTTTCTTTTCTAAATATATATTTTATTCTTTTTATAATCAATTCTTCTTTTAAACAATCATTTCATACAACGGGATTGTACCTCCCTACGGTAGATGTCGCATATAGTCATCCAATGATTAATTACAATAAATCAAAATGAATAATAAATCATTTATTTTGATAATAACTAGACAAAAAAAAGAAAAATAATCTCTTTTCAATAAAAACTTCAATGAAATTAAGACATCAATTAACCAATCATAATCTTCTTTATCTTCTTTATGACTTCTTCTGAAACACAAAAAAAATATATAGTTGTTTGTTTATTTATTCAACTTTTTTTCTTTGCTTTTCTACTCGAAATGATTAAGATTTTATTTAAATAAATTCTAAAACAATACAATGGTTCAACATTGTGTCAATGCTGCTAGTACAGATTTTTGTTCCTATAATTCCAAAACACAACGTGATGCTATTGATGTTGTCGGAAAGTAAATTAAATTTTTCTAATATTGAATTTTTTGTAAAATTTAGTTTCTTTTTTTGTAAAAGTAAATCATCATCAATAAATAATGCAGTCGATTATCATATTCATACATTGGGTTCAATGCAAGCTGGTACTGTTGATTTTATTTCAAATGTTTTACCAGCTGAAATTCGATCGTCTTCTTCAATTTTAACCGAACAAATACCGTCAGATTTAATTTCATCTTATAAAACTAATACAACAACATCGTCAACATCATCATCTGGATATGAATCTGTTTTATCATGTTCATCAAAATCACGTAAATCATTATTTTATCGTTTAAAACGTTTAATTAATTTTTCATCAACAAAAAAATCTGTTGATTATCCTCTACCAACAATTAATAATTATAGTGAACAAAATAATTTAAATTCACCTATTCTATCATTTCGTAATCCAATAATATCATCAAAAATTAATAATACCAATGAAACACGACGAAATTCTTTAACACGTTTAGATATTAAACGTAAATCATCTCGACGAACATTATCACCTGCAACACAACATATTCCTTTTTTATATGGACTTAAAAATTGTGGCAATACTTGGTAAGAATAATTACAAAGCATATCACATATGTATATATATATTATGTATTCAAAATGAAGTTCACCTTTGATATAATTGTTATTCTCTACTCTAGAATTTCTGATTTAGAAAAGGGACGAAAATTAAGTTTGAACAGAAAACATGACGTTCTTTTTTTTGCATTGAATTAAAAACAAGATTGTTTTCTACAGAAGCATATAAGAATGAAGAATTTNTGAGAGTAGAGTCAGTGGTCACCGGCTAGGGTCGCATACAGTATGGTCCATGCTAACCTAGCACGCCTGTATTTTCTCCTTGCAATTTAGTGATAAAAAACACAGTGAATATACCTTTTCACTTTTTGAAGTACACATAACACTCGGATTTAAATCCGAGGTTTTCGCATTTTTTTGTAAATGAATTGAGACTGTAGCTAATCAATATCATACTCAGGACTACTAACCATGATAGTCATTGTTAGTAACGTCTTTCATTCATTATAATTCTCTTTAATTTAGATTGTTCTTGTTGAAATTCAACAACAGAATGGTTTTTCTCAAGTTTTTCATGATACAGAACCTATTAGTCGTCTTACACATGATGTTTATGCCATACAATTTCCTTCATCAAATTCAGAAAGTATTGAACATAGTACATCATCTACAGAAAAATCATCTTCATCTTATGTTAATTTACTTGTTCTTAATCGTGTACGATATAATTCTGGTAGAAATGAAAGATTTGGTGCACCAATTGGTAAATAAAAAAAAAACAGAATATTTCTATGAATTTAAAATGAAATAAAAAAATTTTTTTTTTTTTGTTTGTTTAATTTTTAGTTGTTCGTGTTCCTCGTCAATCAAATTATCGTACATTACAATTATCAATAATAAAAGCTCAACGTTCATTAATTCGTGATGATGTTATGGAATATGCTCAAGATTATGTTGTTTTTCAATTAACACTTGTTGATCAATATCAATCAACATCATTTGGAACATTAAAACAAGAATATTCTATTTCTCATGATGTACAATGGCCACTTTATCTTGAGAAAATTATTGAAATTCTTGATGCTCATGATGGACCTGGTATAGGACCATCACATATTCAAGTCTATGCTAATTGGCATGAAAAATTTGTCGGAGAATTTTTATCTAAATGGCCATATGGTGATGATAAACCAGATATTCATCAATCAGTTGCACAAGCACGTGCAACATTACATCAACCATCATCATCCTTAATTTCATTAGCAGATTGTTTTTCTTTATTTACACAATCGGAAAGTTTAAATTATGTATGAAATCATAAGAAACATAAATTTGTTATTTTTTTTTTCCGAGATAAATAATTCATTTGTTTATTTTTTGTAGGATGATGCATGGATGTGTACACATTGCCGACGTAAAGAAAATGGTACAGTAAAACATTTAAAAATATGGACAACACCATCTGTTTTAATTATACATTTAAAACGTTTTTGTCAAACAAAAATATCGAATTCAAAATTAACATATCCAGTACAATTTCCACTTGATAATCTTAATATAAAACGATTTTTATCAACAACAAAAAATTTAACAGATGATGGAGAAGATGAAAGTGTAATAGATGATGAACAAGATGAATCTATTGAAAATCAAGATGAAAGACAATATGGACTTTATGATCTTTTTGCAGTTTGTAATCATCGTGGTAGTATGTCAAATGGACATTATACTGGTAAGAGAAAAAAATGAATAGGAATGTAAATTTAAATGATACTTATGAGTCTAATAGAAGTGGAGAAACAACTGATTGTGGTAGTGGCAGAACCAAAACGCTAGTCGGCTTGTCCAAACGTAACGCTGTTACGTTTTTGACACACTGTTCTTCAATTAACTCGGAAGGTTTAACAGCTAGAAGGTTCATTCAAACGCCATTCGACACAGCTTATCAAACTCTATTTATGTTATAAGAACGACCTTTTTCGGCTGAAGTCTCTAATGTCTAGAAAGGTTTTATTATCGCGTAACGCTGTTATATAAAAAGACTCTTTTTTTCCAGTACCGCCGAGAAAACTCTAATTTTTAGCGAAACTATTTCTCCAAATGAAAACTTTCCACAGTCAGTTTTGTACAGCATCGAACAAGCTTTTAGACAGTAACAAAGATTTTTCCTAAAGCATTTTTGCTCAGATGAAAAATGCAAAATACAAACGTAATGCTGTTACACAGTTTTTTGTGGATTAGTTTTGAGGGACTTAACATGTTTAGAATGGTTTGCTTTTTACAAATGTTACTCATTCCCTTGTAGATAATCTTCTATATAAGAATGAGATTGATACATCGATCCGAGACCTCATAAACCGGACAGTAAGTTGGAGACTGTGTAAGAGTCTGCAATTTGTCTTTACTTATGAAAGTCAAAACTAAATAGATCATTTTGTAGAGAATTAAATTCTGCATCGAATGGTATGTCTCTCAATATTTTTTCAAATTTTTTTTTGGTTGAAAAATTCAAAATATGATTTTTTACAAGTTTAAAACCCGGTTTTCGATTCTAAAACCTAACTTTTTTTACAAAATAAATGTCAAATTCGTAATCAGCGTTAAAAACTACATCTAGTAACTCATTCAGATTTGTCCAATTCGAAAAAAAATTTTTTCGAAACTTGATCAGCGAAGTGTCGCGTTACGTGGACAAGCCGTAGTACCTTCGAATACACGATTTTGTGATAAGGATTATCTCGACAAAGAAATTCTATTTCACGAAAATAATTAGTTTTAGAAAATTTTCACTGAATATTCCTCGAATCTATGAATTCTCGTCGTGACTCAGAGAAAACCATAATAAGACAATACCGAGAGGTTTATCGAAGTAATTTTTCAATCCTAATATTGACTAGTACGATTATAATAGAATCATGTTCTTCTAAATCTCTTTAATTAATTATTATTTATTTTCTATTTCAGCTTATTGTAAAAATCCAATAACAAACAAATGGTTTTGTTATGATGATCATCTTGTTTCGGAATTAGATCCATCACGTGTATGTACACCAGATGCATATATTTTATTTTATAAGCGTCGTGATACACCACCATCACCAAGTCCACAATCTATTCCAAAATCTTTATCATCACAACAAGAACAAATTGATTCGATGGTTAATGAATTTGAACAACATTTAAATCTTGATCATTCATCTCTTCAACCACCATTACCATTACCACGAAAATTATTAACATCAGGATCTGAAGATGAATCTTCACGAATACCATGTCCAATACCACGAACACGTATATCAAAAACTGAAGTACAAATTATTTCTCAGCCAATATCATCTGTTAGACAACAAATAGTCAATTCAATTCCGTCATCTGAATCATTAAATAATTGTAATAGAGAAGTAATTAGTCCATGGAGTCGTTTTAATAATTATCGATATTCTAATGATGAACCAGACAGTAATGTAGTTGATCATACCACGATATTACGATAAATTTATTCTTTAAATAAATGTTGTCATATAACAGTAAACATATATTTTTTTTTTGTTTGATTCAATCCTTGCCTATTGTTTGTTTGTACAGTTTATATTTCTTCTCCGTTAGATTTTTTTTCTGAAATAACTGTTAATTTATACACTTTAAATTGATTGACATGCTTGCGCATTCGGTTGATTTTGTTGTTTTTTTTTCGGGCTAGTAGTGTACATAAATATATATATATATATATATACATATAAACTGTGTCAATTGGTGTGCTGTGTATTTATTTATGCAAAAATATTGGTATAAAAACAAAATAATATTTCAAGTGAAAAATAAAAGTCAAACATTTTGTTTCGAGAGAATTCGATAATTTTGTATTCTTTTCCAATTGGAAATTATTCTAATGAAATTCGATAACACATGATTAATATTGGTATTTGTGAGTGTGGGGCTACTACCGAAAGTCTTCTCGGTCGCACCTAATAGTAACCGAGACATTTGTTGCTCTATATAATAAAACAAATTTTTGATTTTATTACCTATCACTTGAGCAGTTAGTTCTCATAAAGTAGCGAGAAAAAGTTTAAGATTTTTCCCATTAAAGACTACTCAATATGGACATCCAACTTCCGCTACCACTTTTAGGTTACGCTAAATATATTCTTTGTTCAATTTATGACCATGTCCTATTCTTACTGAATTGAACTTCTCTTGAAAGTGTTGTATTGAAATAGGCGGATATTTTTCAAGTCAGTTAAAACTGAAAGAATTGAGTTGTCTATAATAGTCACAGAGCACAAAGTTGCCCCAGTTATGAGATAACTATTTATTAGTAAAACATATTTTGAAAATGTTTTCTTCTTCATTAATTTGAGTAGAAAACATTGCAATCGTTGGCAACACCAAGAGTAGTGCAACATGGGGACGAAACATTTCATTTAGCAATGAACAGAAAAACGCGCAGGATGTATATTCTACGACAGAATGAATGCCTTTCTTCGGATTTCTACTAATGTGTAATATAGGAAAAGGGTTGAAGGGATGATAGTCAAAAAGCAAAATAAAGATGAGGTTATTCCTCTGGCAAGGAGCTACAAAAGTGCAAGAAGGAATTAAAACACATGTTTCGTATGATTAGTAAATTCAGTAGTGGACTTTGGACAGTATTTACATTACTACGTAGTTATCAATAAAGTCAAGAAGTCAATCATGTTTCTAGAAAGTAGAGCCTTAAAAATAGTAAAATTTTCTGGATATTTTCTATGAACTGACATTATGGTGCACTGTTAAGAGGTTTTCAGATTCGATTTTGTTTCTAGATAATAGATTGTCACATCATACTTGCAATTATTACTCATACCAGACGAAAATAATTGTGGTGTGTTAAACGTCATAGAAGTAAAGACCGATATTGAATGCTGTAATATACTTTAATTCATCTTGAACTATTATGTTTGATTGCATTGATCAATTTTATAAAGTTTTCATTTTCTTTTATGGTCTTGTGATACTATTGATCTGATGTTAAGTTCGATTTTCTTTGCAACTCTTCTAGAAATTTTTTTATGGTCAGAGCCATCTATAGTAAGGTCAAGAATATCTCCGAAAACAGTAATTAAATCTATACGATGGTCGAAAGAGTTTATTTAGACACTAAAACATTTTTCACAAACATTGGAAATAAGATTAAACTCTGTATGAGAATATTATAATATTCTAAGCAAGCAAAATTTTGTTATTTTTATCGTTGTAAAAAGCAATACAAGAACTATCGTCATTGCTTCGGAGTTGTTTTTTTGAAACTAAGTCTAAAAGCAAAAGGAATGTTACACATCAAACCCTTTTTATTCTCTCTCTTTCGATTATAATGACTGGAAAGGAGAGGAAGAAAGAAATCACTATTGACGTATCGTTAGAAAACGATTGCAAAAGATTTTTCTCTCTTTTTTCTGCTCTGCCATCAATTACGCCAACATTTAACGAAACAAACTTGCATGTATATGTTCTTTTTCTTACACATATATCAACTGTAATAATAAAGCGGCAGACGAACACTTTGACATTGAAAAGGTTACTTCTTTTTTGCTGAAATTCGTTGTAGACGAATACAGATCATGACGGATAAATATCATTTGGTAACTGAGCTAACGAAAGAGTCAATTGGTAAGTTTTGTAGTCGTATGAGTTTTTATTTTTAACAAGATGTTTGTTTTTTTTTTATAGAGGCTACAAAATCTTTTACGCATCATGAGAAACGTTTGCCAAGTACACGCAAAGAGAAAATAACCGATGTTGCTCAACTCAAACCAGGCGATCATGTCAGTTTTTATAGAAGTGACTTTTACTATGCACATCACGGTATTGTACGTGAAGCTAGTGCCAATTATCTTCGTATTATACATTTTTACAATACAGCAGCAAATGTTTGGAATTCATTAGTGAAAGGTTCATTATATCTTGCTGAAGTTATTGAAAGTGAATGGGATTTAAAAATGAATAGTGATAGTGAAGAAATTTATTTACATCATTATGATAATATAAAATGTTTTTCGAATGAAGAAACTCTTGAACGAGCCATTGCCAATCTTGGAAAACGTGGCTATTCATTATTCAGTAATAACTGTGAACATTGGGCACGATGGTGTCGAACAGGTGATTCTTATTCCGAACAAATTATCAGATTTCGTAATTTTGTTAGAGAAAAAGCGGCTGCACTTTTAATTGTTGATCCTGCGGCACTGCTTGTTAAAGATGTAGCTGTTGTCGGTACTCAAAGTCTTGGAACATTCCTCAGTGCCATTGGATCGGGTTTAGTTCTTACGAGTGTCGAGAGTATTGCTACACTCATCGATATTAAACGAAAAGAAAAACAACGACGACAAGGTAGCTTAAGTGAGATGGCTTTCAAAAAATATGTCGTACTTCGAATCACATCAGCATGTGGTACTGTAGGTGATCATTTTTATTGAAGAAAAAAAAAGTCACAAACAATATTTATACTTGTTAAGGTCATCGGAGGAACCGCAGGCACTATTGTTGGAACTATTCTGATTCCTGTACCCATTCTTGGCTCTGTTGTCGGCGGTGTAATCGGTACTGTAGGGGGGAAAATTCTCAGTGGTCTATCGGGAATAGCCGTGTCGAAAGTTGTTGCAGTATACGAGAAGCAGAAACTGGCCAAGATAGAAGATATGACAACTCTTCCAGAACTGGTGGCTCAATTATCTCAACATGACCGACTTTTTCAAGGTTTAATGACACTAACACTTGATTCTGAGCAAGAAGCACAAGTAGAAACCATTGTTAGAGAAGCAACAACAACAGACGCATCAAAATCAAACACATCAATCTATCCATTTTTTGAACAACTAATACGCCATTATTCGATTTTGACATGCGAAGATTGTCAAAAAGCTACTCAACTCTCGGAGAATGTATTTTCAAATTCAAATGATTCAGAATATTTTGTACTTCAACCAATACCCGACGAAAATTCACCTGAAGAATTCGCATCGGCAGTTGATTTGCTTGTACTTCGGTGGCCGATGGGAAAATCTCAACCGTGGGAAATTGGTGAAGAACAAGTGCTTGATATTAATGACTTGAATGCAGTAAATGAATCAGTCCAGTAGCGAGTTCTGAATATTGGAATTCCTGTGAGATTCGTGCTCATGTAAAAAAAATCAGCATATACATGATTTTTATCGATTTGAGTCGCAATTAACTGATAAAAGTCGAGTAATTATGATTTTTTTAAGGCTAGATGGAAAATTATCATCGTTTTTTCTATTGGAATCGAATAAAGTTGATCGTCTACGATTTTTTCTTAATCAGTTACAATTAGTTGTCTTCTCCACAAAAAAAATTAACGCTCGATGCTTTGAATTTTGTCAAGAGTTATTATATGTGGATAATGCGAAGAACAATCAAGTTCTTCTTATATACACTCAATTTTCGAGCTATGATTGTATTCGTCCACCTCCATGCACCACGACAGTGATCATTTCAGTAGTCTAGATCATGGCAATTGTATTATCTTCTACTCCAGAAAGCAAATGCAGGTGTCAAAAAAAGCGAGAGTATAAATTCAATGCACATTAACTCAGCTTAATTGATGCAGCTGTCACAAGAGAGAGCCTAGTCCGGTAGCTTTCTTCATACTAATTTACATGACGAGGTGTCTGGATATTAGAGAACCACCATCAAGTACGACTCCTTTTTATCCTCCATTGCTCTTCTTCTAAAATTAGAGAGCAGGCATCTATATGCAGTACTGTTTCTGTAAAATTCTGTAGTCTTATCATAGTTTGTGACGTATCTATGTTCTATTCCTTGTGAGATGTCAGTTGAATGATTTGCAAGTAAAGTTCGACAGCGCTCAAATATGACCTCCAGTCTCATCGATTCTATTAAAACTTTTGCAAGTATAATCAGAAAAATTATTTCGTAAACAATATTTCATTGATCTGAACATTAGAAGAAAAATACTTTTTTTGGAATTTTTAATTTTCCCTTAAAAAATACATATTTTCTTTATATTCTATTTCCTTCAAATCCAACTAATTCTACAATAATTAGTCTAATGAAATAACGCTGTTATAACATACGAGCACAAAAAGAAAGACGAAAACAGCAAGCTGCATTTCAATGTAGAACTTATTGGGTGCTCCTCAGTGTATTCCTAATACCAAGAGTTTCGAGAAAACGTCGAGTATCTTCACAAAAACTGTTGATCTTCTCTTGTATATCTCTTAATACAAAGAGAATGGAGAGAAATTTAAACAATCTTGTATAAATCTAGCCCTTTTCTAGGCATCGAGAATCAAACAGAATATTGGCGGCAAAAATCAAAGAGCCTATGTAAAAGATATTAGAGAATAGCTAGGTATTGTTAAGAAACCGATCTATGCGAAAAACAAACTACGAAGGGTCTATGTGTACGGATATAGAGGGTGAGTGAAGAGAAGAGTCGCTCGCACCCAACTCACACTTCGTACTTTATACTCATGTGCACCCATATACCCATCCTCGTCCACTCTCATACCTCGCCGAAAAAAAAAGAAGAAAAAAAAATGAGGCTTGGTTTTTTCCAATATGTGTGACTATATAACCAATGAATATTATTTCACATTGAATTATTTTAATGTCAAACACTTGAACGATATGGATAAAATTCGCAGTATTATCCATTCTATTTCGGACTCTATATGTGAGGGAGCCAACATCGCTGTGGAGAACTTCGAGAAAAATCTTCAGAGCAGCGTTGATCAAGCACACAATCCGCCACCGGATACAACTGCGCTGGATCGAAATCAAAAAGCAGAAAAAGGGTAACAGCCACAACTGAAAAAAACAAGCGAACAAGAAAGGTATATGAAGATTAATCTTTCGACCTCCTGAGTGAAACATTGTACTATTTCAAAATATCCGAAAAGCCATGTTGATTACAAATAAAGCTGGCGTGATCACGATGGACTTAAATTTGAGAGTGATGAAATAACCGACATATGTAACGATGAAGTATATCATCTTAGTCAGAGATCTGTGAGGGCCGGCTCAAGATAGGAGAAAAAGATGACGGGACGACAATATTTTGTTTTCTTGGATCGAATGAAATGGCTTTTTGTTCGGCTATCGATCTTTGATTTCTTCGTTTAAGTATTTACTACAATTGATCGAATGAAGGATAGACGTAGACGTATATCGGTGTAGATGAGGAATATTACACACCCGCACACGAACGGGCCGTAACATACTATCATTGATCCCGTTTTCATCATAGTTTTATCGATGTCTGTAATAAAAAATGGCAAACCACCTTTGTTGATTGCATGCTCGAACGAAATGGAGAAGGTTTATTTCTTGTATTACGTCGGGGTCATCGGTCATTTATGTTGAGCAACATGAAAAAAATTGAAATCTTCAATAACGGTGTGGATAAAGAACTGAGCTATACCCACCCCAACACCTAAAAAACGTTGCTGCGATCTTCACAATAATAGAAAAAAGAATTCTAAATAGAATGCAGCTAAAATAAAATATTATCCCAATGACAAAGTTCGTAGATTCATTTTTCCATCGAATGCTTAACGGTATTACATTAACTTATAGTCAGAACTATTGATGATTTATCATCATACAGTTTCTTGTCATAGATTTCTGCGACTTTCATCATAGAAGACAATGACAAATGGGATACAAGATTACTACATGGTATTTACGTAGTTGCCTAAAAAAAAAAATAATGATAAAATCCTAGAAGTCATATTGTCCACAATTACATGTATAAACTATGGAAGTTCCATGTTTTACTAAAACTAAGACCGATCGATACGCCATTATGACTTTCCTGTGACCTCGATTCATTTTACACTTTTTCTTTTATTCCTATGAATCATTTCAACAGTGCCCATAAGTCTCCCATGTGGTAACCGTTTAAGGGAATCCAACGAGTTAAGGGAAATACTGTAAAATGAATAGAGGTCACATTGGAGTTCTAATGGCGGACCAATGAGCTTCAGTTTTAGTAAAATATGGAACATCCATACTTTACACACTCCGAATCCTATTGGTACGCCATGAGAGCTATACCGTGACCTCTATTTCTTTTACACTGTTTCCCTTAACTCGTTGGATTCCCTTAAACGGTTACCACACTCCCAAGAAGAACGAAAACAAAACTCCAAAATAATAAATATCCACATTTTATCATGCGACCCATGATATGTAAACGAGATGCAGAGTATAATGTTCTTGTTTTCATAACGCTTTCGTCATGCATCATTACTTCCTATTTATTTGCCTAAATATGTAATTGCAAAAACACAAAAATATGCAATAAAAAGCGATTATTAACACACTTAAACGAAACAGCTTCCGCTAAACATACCATTTATTGAACAGACATTTCGAAAATTTTGATCAATGCCGACCAAAATTATTTCATCTTTTCTTAAGTTACCAGTAGAAATCGTTTACCGAATTCTTGACTATCTTGATGATTTCAATATGTTTTGTTCGACGCGAAATGCTTGTACACGTTTCAATGAAATTATTGACAGCTACCATCGATATCAGGTAAAACACTATTATATTTTACTAATTTGACATTCACTATCTGCAAAACATTATTCATTTATCTCAGATATCAAATCCGTATATATCATCTTACTAGAGTATTTTCTCTGGTAAACGATAAATTACTAGATCGAACCGAATAAGTTTAATGATTTGTTGAAAACAATTTATGCTTTAAGCTTAAGTCGAAACCTATGATTGATCAGCAACAATAGTTCAAGTTAACTAAAACCAAGTGCTACTAGTAATAACCTAACAATCACGAGATTGAGTAACATCCGTTGTAATGACAGCAGCTTGAACAATCTGAACCGAATCATACTTAAAAACAACATTACAAACACAGTCATTGAAAACGAAGTAAGGAAAGCATTTCCGAGGTCCATCCCTTCCAGAAATAATATTTCATTAACAATTATTTCATTAGTCATATAGACCAATATATAAGCAGTTTCTTTTCATTATACAACAGTCTAAAACAACACATGCAACTCTATCACAATCTAAAGAACATATCAACGAGTAGAACAATGTACCGAGCATGAAAGCTTAACAAGCTCTTTTAATCTATTTTAAACTTTCTTTTATATACATCAAATATTGATCAGTACCACGATCTATTATTATTACGTAACTTTTCAATCCCTACTTGATTTCAGGACTCTTTGTCGAGTCCCAAAATCTGTACCATACATCATACAATATTTTCAACGAAGTATACATGCAATTCAAAGACTTATATACTTATTGAGGTTTTCCAACTTTTTTCAGAAAAGACTGCCCATGTCTATGATTTAACTTGAAGGTTCACCGATTGAAACAACAATTCTGATTATAGATCCTATTATGATGTCTCCACCGCGAACTCTTTCATAATTTCAAATTTTTTTCAACAGAGATTCAGT